GTGCCGGCTCTACCGGCACGTGTCGCACGACTTCCTGGAGATCCGCTTCAAGATCCAGCGACTGCTGGAGCCGCGCCAGTACATGCTGCTGCTGCCCGAGCACGTGCTGGTGAAGATCTTCAGCTTCCTGCCCACGCGGGCCCTGGCGGCCCTCAAGTGCACCTGCCACCACTTCCAGGGCATCATCGAGGCGTTCGGCGTGCGGGCCACCGACTCGCGCTGGAGCCGCGACCCCCTCTACCGCGACGACCCCTGCAAGCAGTGCCGCAAGCGGTACGAGAAGGGGGACGTGTCGCTGTGCCGCTGGCACCCCAAGCCCTACCACCACGACCTGCCTTACGGACGTTCCTACTGGATGTGCTGCCGCCGCGCCGACCGCGAGACGCCGGGCTGCCGCCTGGGCCTGCACGACAACAACTGGGTGCTGCCCTGCCACGGGCCGGGCGGGGGCCGGGCCGGCGGGCGAGAGGAGGGCAGGTGAGGGCGCACTGGGAACCCGCCGTGCCCTCCCTCCGCACCGCCTCCCCTGGGAACCCAGGGCCTGGGAGGAGGACAGCCCCGGCCCCCAGCCGCAGGGAGAGGGGGTTTCGGGGGGCCGACCCCAGCAAGTACAAGTACCCCTGTTGGTTTCTTACTCCTCAGACCCAGGGCAGTGGACCCTCAAAGAGAATAGTTTTGTTGTTTCTGGTTTTTTTCCGGGGGGGGTGGGGGTGGGGGGCTGGTTTTATTTCTTTAATCAACATCTCAACAATTTCTCCATTCTGTCCTAACACCCTCCCTGCCACTCTTACACCCCAGGGACCCACCATCAGGGAGCAGATGGCAGCTAATTTTGGTACCACTTAAGGGTTCCCCCCCCCTCTCATCCCAGCCTGCCTTCTCCAGATTATTGTCTTTGGGACTGTTTTTTGGTGGCCCATGCCCCACCCCTAAAAAAATATCCCGATGTGCCACCCTTGGGCACAGAGAGCGGGCAGGCCACAGGGCCCACGCAGCATCCTTTGTAGCAGCCTGCCATGCCAGACGTTTCCCCTTCACCTCAAGCTACTGGTCTCCACCCTCACCCTAGAGGACGCAGGGAAAGCACCCCCCCTTCACTATTTAAGCTATGGGCAACACCCCACCCCATGACAAAAAACAAAACTGTGAAGCCCTGTGCCTTGCTTGTGACAGCGTGGGGGGCCCAGGGGGCAGGGATTGTGGGTTTCAAGTTCTGGGTGGTCTTTTTTCCCCTCCTACTCTTGGGTACTTGTTCAGGTGTTGGGTGAGGGGGGGGTGTCTCTTGAGCCCCCATCCCCCCAAGCCACAGGTGTTCAAATCCAGTGGTCACAGGGAGTTTTGATTTTCAGACCCTCTGGTCCAGGTATTTTTGTTTGTTCTGTTTGGGGGTTTTAGTTCGTATTTTTGGTTTTGTTGTGTTTCCCCACCCCCATCAACATGATTCCGGAAGCTTCTAGCGTGTGGCATTTGACCAATTTTGAATTGGTCCTTTCTATAAAATCAATATTTATAAGGCTGGGCTCAGACTGGTTTGTGTGTTGTTGAGGGGGGGACCTTGGGAAAGGGGGGCATGTTGCGAAGCGTCCTGGGCCTGTGTGTGGCCACGTGGGGAGTTGAGAGCAGAGGTCTCCTAAGCCGTGCCCCTTCACTTGAAATTATTGTGGACTCGTCACCTGTATCACGTGTGTCAGCTTGGAGGTAAAAATCTCGACGTAGTGGCGTCAAGAAAATGGGGAGCTTTTCCTCGATAGTCCAGGACCGGGCAGTTGTTTCGTCTTCCAAAGTCATCAGACAGCCAGACTCCCGCTCGCTCACTGTTCCCATCAACCCTTGGCTGGGGTCCTTGGCCCCATGGTCCAGGATAGCCACTGGAACGCATCACTTCTGTAGGCTGCTGGCATCGTGGTTACGCATGGGGCTGCTAACTGTGAGGTCAGCCGTTCGAAACCACCAGCTGCTCCACAGGAGAACCACTCTACTCCTGTAAAGAGTGACAGTCTCGGGAAGCCACAGGGGCAGTTCTGCCCTGTCCTATAGGGTCGTATGAGTCGGCATCACCTTGATGGCAGTGAGTTAGGTTGCAGGAAGGGACAAAGAAGTAGGGAAAGCCCTGTGCCTCCCTGTCGTACAACACTGTACCTCTGTATACCTCTCAGTGAGGCAGACTTAGCCAGAGCGGACTGCGCTGTGCCCCAGAAAAAAACCTCTTTTGCTAAAAAGATTCCTTTGATTATGGTTTAAATAGTGTACGGATCATTATACTAAATAAAATGGGAACTTAAAAAGTCTAGAAGAGGGGGAAGAATGGTTAAGTAGAGGCTCTGATATTCTTATCTGGGAGTCAAATTTTCTAGAGAGTCAATACACCCCGAGAGAGCCAGAACCCTGTGAATGGTGGAAATCCCTAGGGAGGAAAATGGAAATTTTTGCCACCAAAGTGAGAGAAAAGTGGTAAGACGATCAAAAAGCAGAGAAACCTGGGAGACCTGGAAGCTCTGGCTCTCCGAGGTTTGAGTAGTTGGTATGGAGGCGTCAAACGCAGAGACCTGGATGTTTCCCGGGACTTCAGGGGTCTGGTGCGCTGGATTACTGCACCCATTCACCCACTGAAAACAATGGGAAATTTATAGAATTTCCTTCAAAGCCTCAGATAGCAAGTAAATTGGAATTAGGACCATCCCACCTCACCCCCAGGCCAGAAATTACAGGAAAGGATACAACAGGTGCTGAAGCCACGGGGGTTATGAAGGGACTGTTGATGGGGACCAGCTTGGGGCCCTCATTTGGCAGCTTTGTGGGGGCAAGCAGGTAGAAGTCAAGGCCAAAGCCTACCCAATGTGGGGGATCACAGAGGAGCTGAAATCCCAGAGAATTGCAAGCTCAGGTAAGGATTATCCAGAACATTGCAGAATGTTCTAGATCAGTGGTTCTCGACCATCTAATACAGTTCCTCATGTGGTAGTGACCCCCCCACTATAAAATTATTTTCATTGCTACTTCATAACTATAATTTTGCTACTGTTAATGAATGGGGCGACCCCTGTGAAAGGGTCTTCGGCCCCCAAAGGGGTCTCGACCCACAGGTTGAGAACCACTGTCCTAAATGCTCAAGGGTGCATATGACCCAAGGAAAGAAAATCATTAAGGCTTGTATTTTGTGGCCATGGGCCACCCCTGGTCACAGATTTGTAGTCTAGATTTGCATCGGGAACTGGCAGGTAAAACGTCTGACCAGAGGTTATCCGGTAGAAAGCACTGTCAGAATGTTCCTAAGTAATTTTTCACTCAGTGAATGGTTCACAGTCAAATAACCAAACGTGAATGAAGTAAAGCATTTGAGCAAGAACCAGCAGAAACAACAGAGAACCAAAACAGGCCCGCAGACACTTCAGGTGTTGAAATGCTGTCATCAGACAACTTTCGTTGGCTTTTTCCCCCTTTGTTACTTGCTTTGAATCAACGAGTAACGAGAGAAGTGCCTGTACATACCCCAGTCTTTAAAAAGTAACCTAGTAGATGTGAAAGGGAAAAATGATAAGAAAACGTGGAAATGAAAAATACAGTAAGCCAAAAAAAAAATTTTTTTTTTAACCTCAAATGGCGGGGTTAAACAGATGCGACAGAGCTGAAGAAAGAGTTCTTGAACTAGAAACGAGGTCAGAAAGAAATGGTTCCCATTACGGCACAGGGAGGAAACAAACCCCGAGAATAAGAAAGGTTGTGGGGGACACAATGAGAAGGTTTAATAGGTCGCATTCCAGAATCATGAGAAAGGGCAAGGCATTTAAACGGATGATGGTAGAACATTGCAGACGGGTCATACACCAAATAGCCCAATGAGCCAGAAGCAGAGTAAGTGAAAAGTGTGCGCAGGTGCAGGATTTGGGAGATTGATCTGAAGAAATCATACGAACAACTTAGATTGATAGTTGTTTATCTAGGGTGCTCAGAAACTGTTAATCATGCACCCTTGTGGCAGCTGCAGGGCCTACTGGTTGTGTTGTTAGGGGCTGTCAAGTGATTTCAACTCGCAGTGGCTCCATGTGACAGAACGGCCCTGAAGTTGTAATCGTCCCAGGAAGACTGCCAAGTCTTTTCTCCCTGGGGCCACTGACTGGGTTTAAGCCACCAACCTTTTGATTCACCGTCGAGCGCTTTGCCTGTGGCAACACCAGGGCTCCGCTATTGGCCATGCCAAAAATGAAACCAAATCCATAGCTATCAAGTACAGCCGGACTGCTCCTTACAGTTTCCAAGATTGCAAAGCCTCATTTTCTCTTGCAGAGCGGGCTGGTGAGTTTGAACCACTAACCTTGCAGTTAGCAGCCCACTGCTTATCCCACAGGCTTAAGCCACCAGGGCTTCCTTCTCTTGGCTGTGGGCACTGGGGAAACACCTTGCCCAGTATCAGCAGCGTAAGATGGAGCCAACAATCTTAACCTTGAAAGGACCTGAGGATTCAAGCAAACAAGGTCCTTAAAGCATGTGGCCCAGTGCCTGATGCCTAGGGGCCCTGCAGGGAGTGGCCCTTGAAGGAACGTCACTAAGCACGTTTCACACACACGGACACACTCGGTGACACGGTATGTGTGATGCACTTGGCAACCTGTCACACAACAAACAACAAATAGGACGGTCCTTCAGGTCCCTGACAGGTGATACCGCTGTGAGCCATTTCCCCTGTCTGAGCTTATTCCCCTTCCAATAACACTCACTGCCGCCAATGTATTCCTACTCGGCAGCCCTTTCGGACAGGGTAGAGCTGCTCCTGTGGGTTTCCGAGACTACAGGAGCAGGAAGCCTTAGCTTTCTCAGTGGAACTGCTGGGGGTTTTGAGTGGCTGACCTTGCCGTTAGCAGCCCAACCTAGGACCACTGTGCCACCAGGGGGCCTATTCACGACCTATAATGTCCTGCCTCCAGTGCAAACCTGCTGTATCTTGCAGCCAATTAAAACATCAGCTGACCACACATCATTCCCCCAACACAGGTGAAATTTGGGGAGGGCGGTAGGACACAAGAGCTGGGCAGACTGTCAGCAAAGAGAAGTTGGGCTCTGTAAGCCGCTAGCTCTTCACATTGCTCAGCCTCAGCTGTCTCATCGTACCGTGAGAACCGGAACTGTGTCCACCTCAGGATTGGAGGGTAGATTATGAAGTAGGTTGATGTCTGTAAGGGGCCCGGGGTGCCGGCACGTAGTAGGAACACACTATACCAGCTACTACGAGGAGTAAGGTACTCTGGTGCTATTGTGGGTTATGGGCTGAGCTGTGAACCACAAGGTCAGCAGTTTGAATCCACGAGCCTATCTGCTCCCGTAAAGATTTAAAGCCTCAGAGCCTCGAAAGGGTAACTCTACTCTGCCTTAGAGGATTGCTATCATTTGGAATCTGCTCGATGGCAGTTTTTACTGTGGTACATGAGGTCTGTGACGATGTTGAATAAACAGAGGGCTTCTAACCACAAGGTCATCAGTTCAGATCCCCCTGTCACCTCGAAGAGAGAAAGATGAGGCTCTCTGCTCCTATAAAGATGTCCAGCCTCAGAAGCCGTCTGTCGGGTCACTGGGAGTCAAAATGCACTTGACAGCAATAGGTTTGGTTTAGCAACCTGAGAGTGCTGGGTCCCGCCCCACGCAGTGGCATCAAAGGCCTGGAGATCTGCCTTGTGTAAAAGCCACATCCCAGAAACCCCCACGGCGTAGCTCTACTCTGGAACACATGGGGTGGCCATGAGTTGGATTTGACTCGGGGATGACGGGGTGGCTTGCATTTTTACCGCAGGATCTCCTGAATCCGGGGCCTTTTCATTTAATAACCTGAGTCGGTCCTGCAGTTTGCTCCCGCGAATCATCTCCTCCTTCAGCCTTGACTTGGCTGGCAGGCTAAGGTGCACCTTTCCCTGCTGAATAACCCTCCGCTCACCTGCCCTTGGGGACATCCCTCCACTCTGGCGGCCTCATGAGTTATCTCGAGACCAGCAGGTACAGAGCCGGGGGACACACACACACACACACACACACACACACACACACACACCGAGAAGCGAGTTCTTGTGACATGTGCTTAGCAGCTGTGAACACCGTACGCATATTCTTCAGGGCAGCGTATCTGACGCTCGGCCCATCACGAGATTCCTTTGTGGCAGAATTCTAATTCAGCAGGTCTAGCTAGGGTGGCACCTGAAAGACTTGCATTTTCCATTAAGTGCCCCGGCTGAGTCCGAGGAGAGAAGGTTGGGATATACCCTTCTACCTCAGCCCCTCCCTAGAACTGCCCTGACACCTACCCATCAGTTCCCAAGTCTGGCACACAGTAGGTACACCAGCCGGCGGGGAAGGGGGGCGGAGGAATGACTCAAGTCTTGTCCTTTCCTTGTCTCCCATAAATGTTCCCCAGCTGTCAAGCCCCCTGTTGCCCGTGGTATATCCTCAAGGCCCCCCGTCTCTAAGCAGCTCCCTCATCGAGGTCCCAGAAAGGAAGGCTAAAGACAGATCGATGCCATTTGAATTAGGGTGCTGGCGGAGAAGATGAAAGTACCACAGACTGCCAGAAGCACAACCCTGTTGTGGGGCAAGGACGGCCAGAATGCTCCTTAGAAGTGACTCTGGCAAGACGTTGTTGTCTCGCGTCCTTTGGGTGTGTTTTCAGAAGGGGCCCTCGTGCTTGGTAGGGTCAAAGGGCAGTGACAAAGAGGAGCGAGCCTCCAGGAGATGGACACTGCACCTGGCCGAGCAGCGAGCAGCGTTTCAGCCTGTGGTGCACGGGGTCACTCTGGGTCAGGATCAACTCAACCGGCACCGACAACACAGTCAAGTATCTTGAGGGAAACGCGGACCTGTGGAGGTTGGGTGCTGCCACGTCGATTTTGACTCACAGCGACCCCGGGTGACAGAGCGGAACTGCCAAGGACGAAGTTTTTCCGGGACTCCTCTTTCTCCCGAGGAGCAGCTGAGTGGGTTCGAACCACCTTTCAAGGAACCGCCAAGCACGTAAACATTGCTTTCCTAGGGCTCCCCAGCCTCGTGTCCTCCTTCTGTGGAGCACTCACGTTATATAGTAAGGAACAGTCTTCTAACGCCTGAGTGCTGTACCCCATGTTTCCTGCAACACCTACTGACACTAGTTCCTCGGAACCAGATTTGCAGAAACACGCTGTCTTATTGCCCATTGGGTCTGGTAGAATCCAGTTTTCCCGAAGGTTGGCTTCTCTCTCTGTTCCATGCTTATAAGCACACACACTTTGGGTCCCGTGTGAAGGTTTGGACTGATGCAGTACCTAGGCTGTTGCCCTGAAGGAGGAACTGACAAACTCAGTCGGGAGGTGCTGCAGGTCCAGACGCCTGTCCACAGACAAGGGCACTCGGCTCCGTCAGCCTTCTGAGCAAGCATTCGTTCCTCTTGAAACAGGGGCCACGCTCTTATGCTTTTGGTCTTTGTCACCACGGTGGCTTCTGCCAAGTCTTTGGAGGATGGTGGTTTGAGAGAGTCAGAGGAAAGAAGGGCACAAGCAGGACAAACCAGCACATCCAAGGGGAGCCAGGCCTGAGGTCCACTGACTCCAGGTGCCCTCGGCATGTCCCCTGCTGGGCACATCTCTCGAGGAGTGAGATGCCTACCCCTCTCCCATTGGAGATCAGCTTGGCAGGTTAGAGTCCCAGGTATTCAGCCAGGAATACGGCGAGGATGCGGCTGAGGTTGTGGACGGTGGGTGGGTGGAGGTTGGCCTCGGAGTCAGCAGGTGTGTGCCAGACAGAGGGGAAGGGTGTGGAGATGAGGTGGAGCACCGGGACTCCTGTGGGTGACAGAAGACACTCAGGCCCACCTGAGACCCAGTGCAGAGCCAGGCGCCCAGGTCCAGACCTGTGTAACCTTCCCTCATGCCCACAAGACCTGGCACTTTCGGAACTCGGAACTAAAAGGCGAAAGCTAGAAAACCCTGCCACTGGGCACCTACCACCACCAAGAGAGCAGAGGCAGGAGCTGAGCGGCTTCATTGGACGCAGCGTCCCTGGGCTGAGAACCTCCTAGACCCAGGGGAAGGTTGCCGCCGCCGCACATGGTGGTCCCCAAGGGATGCTCCAGGCCCACAGACGGTGAAAGGAGACAAGGACCCAGAGCCAACAGCAAGAGCCTTCCCTTTCGGCTGGCCCCCTAAATTTGAGCCCCCAGCCTCCTAAACGACCAGTCTGTGCTGACTCGACAGCTCCTAGCAACAAGCACAGCAGCCTGCGACCGTAAGAGAGTAACTCTGCTTGTGAGAGCCGTCAGAGTGCTGCAGTCGTGGGGGCACAGTAATCAGAGCTAACATCTCTTCGGTGCTTGCTCATGACCTGCCAGGCACTGGTGCAAGCCAGGTCTTTCAGTCCACTCTAACACAGATCTTTAAAAAAACCAAACCAAACCCGCTGCTATCAGGTGGGTTCCGGCCCCTGGGGACCCTCTGGGGCAGAGGAGAGCGGCCACACGGGGTTTCTGAAGTTTCAGGTCTTTAGAGAAGTAGACTGCCTCATCTTCCTCCTGTGGGTCCAAACTCCTCAACTGTCGGTTGGCGGCTGAGCGCTTACCCCACTGTGCCACCAGGGCTCTGTCCACAAGAGATGAGGACTCTCCTGCCCATCTGACCGAGGCGGGCATCGAGGCGCAAAGAGGTTCAGCAACTGGCCCTTGACCTCTAGCCCTGGGAAGGGGTTGGGGAAGGGCCCCGCGGTGGGCCCGCCGTCCCCTGTACCTCCCCAGCCCCCTGTACCTCGCCGCAGGAAGGGGACGTGGTCGTCTTCCACAGAGCCAGGGGCCTCCCCCGGCTGGAAGTACATCAGCTCCTGGGGGTGTGACTGCAGCAGGTTCAATCGGTGCAGACGCTTCTCTGGGGGGTGGAAGGGGTGGATTGGAGAGCGAGGGTCAGTGCCTGAGGGGTCAAAGCCCAACCCATCCCCACCCCTGCTCACACATGGAAGGGATCATACACTGGTTCTCCCGATAGGACCTGAACGCTAAAAGAAAGAAAGGCAACTTAACGCACAGCCACCAAGTTGATGCTGACCCGTAAGGTCACTACAGAGCAGAGTAGAACTGCTTCCTGCGTGTCTCCGAGGCTGGCAGTCATTGGGGCACCAACAGCCTCATCTCTCTTCCGCAGAGCCACGAGTGGGTTCACATGACCATACTTCCGGTCAGCTTGCCGGTGCTCAACCCGCTGCACCACCAGGGCGCCGGGGAAAGGCAGCTCGCTAGCCCTTCCTGTGGGCTCCCTCTGTTTCTGGTCCCACTGGGTCCCTCTGAGCCTGCAAGGTCCCCATCCCTATCTTGGACACCTCTGTGTCCATTTTGCAGAGGGACACTGAGGCAGAGAGGGAAGAGTCCATGCAGCTGGGAGGGGGTCAAGCCAGGGTTGGAACCCAAGCCTGCCTGACCCAGAGCCCGTGTGTTTATGCCGGGCCCCTTCAGCGGTCCTTGGGTGCCTCGGCCTGCCTTTCTTCCAGACCGTTGAGATGAAGAGAAAGGATGGTGGATTCTAAAGAGGGCAAGTGGCCTGTCCACTCCCCGGCCACCCCCACCGTCCCTGCGGAGGATTCCAGGCAGTCCCCTGCCTGCCTCCCACCTCACCGATGCCCCGCAGGCGATGGAACCAGCGGGTCGTGCGGGGGAAGTGGCTGTAGAAGGTGGGGTGGGGCGCTCCCAGGAGGTCCAGAAGCACAAAGAGCTCCTACAAGGAGAAACCGGGATGGAGGAGGCTGGCCGCACCGCCTCCCTCCTCCTTTGGACACAGAGAGCAGCCGTGGTCTTACAATCGCCTGGATCCTGGTGGGGCCGGGGCTGTGCGGGGCCGACTCCATGAGCTGCGCCAGGTGACGGGAGCCATAAAGAGAGTCCTTGGGTCCCCATTGCTTCAGCGCCTCTTCGCCATCCAAGAAGAGCAACTGCAGGCTCACCGGGGCTGCCTGTGGGGAGGGGTGGCAGGGGTGGGCCAGTGCCAGGCCTTGGCTTCCACCCTCTCGCACTTCCTCCTGGCTTTGTATCTCCAAAGAGAGCGTGTATGCTCGACCTCCTAGGAAAGTCTAGGGGCCCAAAGCCGATTCTGAGCTGGGCTGTTGTTCGGTGGCCTTGACTCGGTTCTGACTCATAATAGGGACCCTGTGTAAAACAAACCCAAACGTGGCCCTGCCATCCTCACAGTCACGACTAGATTGGAGCCGACTCTTGTATCCACTGCATAAATCCATCTCCTACAGGGTCTCCCTCTTTTATGCTGACCGTCTGCCCAGCATGATGTCCCCTCCAGAGGCTGGCCGCCCCTAATGACGTGTCCACAGACACGAGACGAAGTCTTGCCATCCTCGATGCTAAGGAGCAGTCTGGCTGGATTGATTTTGGACCTTCTAGCTCCTGGGTCACCTGGCTGCAGTGATTGCTTAGTGCCAGCCCCTGTTTCTTCTGTCGACTTCCCAGCAGAGAGAAAAGAGCTAGTGCAAATGTCCTGAGGCTGATGGGAAATGTGAGGGCTCGGGGCGCAGAGGAGGCCAGTGTGGATAAAGTCGAGGGGCTGGTGGGTAGGGGGTGGGAGCTGAGCTTAGACCGGGCACAACACAACTCAGGGGCCAAGAGAGAGCCTCTGTATAGGCTCTGAACCAAATGGGAACCTGGCCAGGTTTCAAACCCAGGACCCTCGCTACACGGCCTAAAAGCAGGAAGACCAGAAACGTGACAAACACCCAGGCAAGAGGGCTGGGCCATCCCCCACCGCCAGCTCCCATCTCCTCACCTGCTCCTTGGCCTTGCTCAGCTCCAGGTCCAGGGCCCGGGCCAGCTCCAGCAGCAGGGCGCAGGGCACTGCTGAATCTGTGGCCCCAACAAAGGGCGCTGACCCCGGAGGGAAGAGCTTCGAGTCATAATGGCAGGCGAGGGTGAGGTGGCGGGCAGCCCTCGGGTCCAGCGTGGCCACCACGTTGCCGAAATCCAGCAGCCCCAGGGGTGTGGAGGCTGTGAAAGGGTCCAGCTCCACGTGCCAGCCGGCTGTCAGGGACTGCAGTGTGGTCTCCAGGAACTGGTGATGAGAGAGAGGTGGGAGGGCAGGCAGGGCGTGGGGGTGGGGGTGTTAGGTTGGAAATAGAAGTACGGTATTTCTCCTGAGCCATGCAGAGCTATGGGGTCCACCAGCAAATCCCAGGTTTAAAACTTCCCTTGACACATTTCTGCCAAGCCCCTAGGGCAGCAGATCTCAACCTGTGGGTCATGACCCCTTTGGGGGTGGAACGACCCTTTCACAGGGGTCGCCCGATTCATCACAGGAGCAAAATAACAGTGATGAAGTAGCAAGGAAAATAATTTTATGGCTGGGGGGTCACCACCACATGAGGAACTGTATAAAACGGTCGAGGCATGAGGAAGGTTGAGAACCACTGCCCTAGGGCATGCCAGGCAAGCGTCGCCAAAGTCGGTTCTGAAAAAGCACCGGTCAATATGGGCCGGCCTTGCTCTGTCCGCTCTGCAGAATGCAACAGGGCAGGGATTGTCATCGGCCCCACTATTCAGACAGGGAAACAGGCAATGGAGAGGTTAGGACACCGGTCTCTGGTCACATGCTGAGAGACTGAGCTGGCATTGGCTTCAAACTTTTCAGGAGCCCCCAGATGGCTCAGTTAAGCACTCCACTAGGAACCATAAGGTCGGGGGTTCGAACCACCCCGTAGATGCCACCAAAGAAAGGCCTGACAACCCACTTCCGGAAGGTCACAGCCTTGAAAACCGGAAGGTCACAGCCTTGTAGCAATTCTAGCCTGCACATCTGGGGTGACCGTGAGTCAGAACTGAAGGCAACTTAGCATCCCCAGGGGCACAGTGGTTCAGGCTCGCTTGGCTGCTAACCAAAAGGCGGGTGGTTTGAACCCACCAGCCGGTCCATGGGAGAAAGATCCGGCTTCCTTAAGGATGTACAGCCTTGGCTACCCGAATGGGCAGTTCTGCCCTGTCCTACACACTTGGAGGAGGTGGAGGTGGACAGAAAGAGTCCAAAACACCCAAGCCAGCAAGCAGAATCTTTTTTTTCTTTTTTCGGAACGTTGGGTCAGATTTTAATGTCCAGGCCTGCAGGCCCCAGGCTGTCCTGCCCACAGGGCCAGCGGCTGCAGTCACTCAGGCGGTGGCCGGCCAGCCTCGTCCGGGCCTTCCGCTGTCCCCTCGTCTTCAGGTGCCAGTTCCACGTCCAGCTCGGGTTGGCCCACGGAGAGGCCGACTGCAGCGAGCAGGATCTTGATGGGAGCAGACAGTCTCATCTTTCTTCTTCGGGAAGGGCTGGTGGGCTCAAAATGCTGACCTGCTGCTGTTGCAGCTCAGTGCACAGCCCACGAGGCCCCTAGTGCTCTTGGGGGGGTAAACCATTATTAGCGACAGGACAGGGGCAAGCTGAAAAACCTCTGTGAGCCTCAGTTCCCCCTATGTTTGTGCCTGGCACCTATGGTCAGCTTTTGAAGAGGGCAGTACAGTCTCGTGAGACTGCAATCAGATAGCTTCCAGTCCAAGTCTCACCTGTGCGCCTTAACTGTTCTGTGCTTTTGGCCGCAATGACCAATTCCTGTTCATTCTCCTGCGAACTGGGTGGCTCACGGCCTGGGGGTCCCGGGCCCCTTACCTTCCGGACTTGAAGATTGCCGGGACTACCTGGAGGCCGCACGACCAGCAGGGGGCGCAGATAAGTGTCCCAGAGGCGCTGTGGGTCCAGTTGTCCGACCACTCTCCTCAGCCGGGCTTCGGAAAGGCTTCCGACCAACGGAGCCTTGGCAGAGGGGAAGGGTGGAGAGGGGGCAGGGTCAGACACGAGAACAATCCCCATTCAGATGGCCCGAGGAGCCCGGGGCCGTCTCATCATAAGCATTGGGAGCTTCAAAGGCCGAAATCTCAGCTCCAGAAGAAAAAAGCCCCTGGGAGGCCACTTGGTCCAGCCCACCCCCAATCCCGGTGGGGAAATGCAAGGCCAGGCTGAGGACGGGTCTTTTCCCAGTAGCTGAATGAGGACTAGAACCCAGATCGCCCCACTCTCAAGTCTTGACCACTCCAGACCCTCCGGGAGGCAGACGCAGTTAGAAAACAAACGCGGAACCTTAATTCGTTGGGAGGTGCAAGTGCTAGAGTGACCAAACTAGCTGCACCTGCGGTTAGGGGATGACCAGAAAGCCACGTCAGTCAACCCCACACCCTGGAGAGGGCTGGCGGGGAATGAGGGGTCCCTCAGAGCCCGGGCCTGCGCCTGGCCTCACCCGCTGCTGCCGGGCCAGTAACAGCTCCTCGGAACCCCGGTGCCAGCCGCTCCAGACCGTGTAGAATGTCCAGGCTACAGCCACCGCCAGCAGCAGCAGGGGCAACGGCGGCACCCTCGGTAGCAGGCGGCGCTTGGGCGGCAAGGGCGACTCCAAGAGGCCGCGTTCCCCGAGCCGCAGCCGAGGCCGCCCGCGGTTCCCGGGACGCATGGTAGCTTTGCCCAGCAACCCGGTCCGGGACAGCGGAGCCGCCACTTCAGGCCCAGCCAAGTCCCACCTCATGCAATTTGGGGGCCAATGAGAGATCAGAGCGACGGCATTGTCCCGCCCACCGGCGAGGAGGGAAGCCAATGGGAACTCTCGGTCTGAGGACACACCTCCCTGCCTCCCTGGGGCACAACGATTGGCTCCCTCGGGAGGACCACAACCCAACAGGGAGCGCGAAAGAGCTGGGCTCCGCCTCAACGGAAGAGGGAAAGCCAATGGGAAGCGTTCGCTCCTGGAAAACCGTCGACGTAACCGGCATACGTCCACGCCCCTCCCGGATGTAGACCAGGGGTTGGTTGTGCCCAGTTGAAGGAATAGAAGCCCAAATGAATCATCCTGTGGCAAAACGGGCGGCATCTTGCAGCTGGGAGAGGATTCGTTCTTCGGGAGCCGCGCCTAAATGCCCAGACGGCGGGCATTTGGAATGAGCGGCGTTTTCTCTCGTTAGCCTATCCCGTCCTACAGCGACATAATTCTTTGGTTTCCCCTTAAAACGACGGAAACATTTGCCCCGAATGGTCTCGAACCGCTACGCAAGGTTTCTAGCCCACCCCCTACGCACCGCTGGCGGGGGTCGCTATGACTACAGGCCACGCCCCCGTCCGCTCATTAGGTTTGCGCGCAGGCGCCAGCGGAAGTGGATCGAAGGAAACGGAAGTCCCGCCTCTCCTTTCAAAGGCAGAAGCAACGCGGAGAAGACGGGTTTGATCGGAGGACGCAGCTAGCACCATGTGAGGCCCGGCGGGGACGGGGCGGCGGGAGGCGGGTTGAGGATGCAAACGTGGTCGCTTAAAAGTTGGAAGAGGTTGAATCGGGCGCTTTCTTGGTAGCCAGCCGGGGGTCGAGGCGGACGTTTGATGGGTAAAGTGGCGCACTTTTCCCTGCAACGTGAATGGATGGAGCCTTTCTCGGATCCTAAAATTCAGGAGGGCGGGAGTTCCTTATCAGCAAACGAGCTGGGAGCTTTCCCAAATAACTAGTCTTATTGAGATGAATTTTAAGAGGAAGCAAGTCTATGGATAAAGAACCTGGGGAAGGCGAATGCGGAAAACGATTTGAGGTGGGAGACTCACCCGGATAATTTCCTGGTGGTTCTCCCAGGAGTTCGAGGATTATGGATGAGGAGTCACTAGACTGATATTATTCATGTATCCCCCAAATAGTTACCGGTGTTCCTTTTGTACCAGGCACTGCTTTAGATCGCTGGGATACCTCATTGAGTAAAGCAGAAATTCTACCCGCCAAAAAAAAAATAGATAAAACACGTTCCTTAATAAAGAGGGTTTCAGGGGAGAGAAGCAGGCAACTAATAATAGTAAAAAGTATGTGTTGTGTTAAAAGTTCACAAACAAGTGGCTATCAGATTGATTCCAAATCATGGATGATAGATAACGTGTTTGTTTTTCAATCCATGTGTAGAACCAGGTGAAAACAATGAGGAAGGGCAATTTGGGGACAGTAACTCCGTAGAGACCCAGAGGCCGCGTGAAAAAGCTGACCCTGGCAAGGATGTCCTGGGAACAGCAGGGAGGGAACCACGGATATGCAACCTAGGGAGTATCCCGGCTAGTGAAGAAGCAAATGCATGCTACGAGAATGAAGAAAACGTACCCAAACTGACTGTGGCGGTCTCTCCTAAATATATTTAAACCATTAAATGGTATTATATGTGAATTATAGGTCAATAAAACTGCCTTTAAGAAGGAAGCAAATACATAGGCCCTAAGGTGAACGTTCAAGGAGCCCCTGGTGGTGCTGTGAGTTTGGCGGCTAACCGCAAGGTCCGTGGTTCAAACCCCCCACTAGCTCTGAAGGAGAAAAATGAAGATGTCTACTCCCATAACAGCCTGGGAACACCCCCCTCCCCGCAAAAAACAACAAAGCTCACTTGGTTTTGAGTCAGTGCTGACTCGGGGTGCCCCTGGAGGGCCGAGTAGAACTGCCTCTGTGGGTTTGCCAGGCTGTACCTGTTTGCAAGTAGAGAGTCACATCTGTCTCCCACAGAGTGGCTGGTGGTTTCGAACTGCTGAGTTTTCCAACTAGCAGCCCAACGTATTGCCACCCTATGAGAAGACTCCTCTGGGTTTCCAAGGAAACTTGGTACCAAAGCGGTTTCGAGTCTGGAGTGATCAGTCAGCAGTGGGTTTAGTTTGGGGTTGGGATTGCCTAATGGATTACTCAGGAGGACAGTTGGTGGGAGCAGAGCCTGGGGGTGTGCCGGAGCGCTGCCTGTAAATATGTGGGGGTCTTTCATCTTTTTAACGCCGTGAGTTGGGATTGATGTGAAGGCAGCTGATTGGGGCTTTTAAAATCGCTTCTCCTAACGTGCCATAGACTGGCAGACTCTTCATCGGATCATTGACCTGCCTCTTCCCACCGGAAGTTGCGCTGGGGAATTGGTTGCGCTGCTGACACTGCGCTGAAGAAGCGCTGGGGGCACAGGGATGATCCCCCGGCTGTTCTCCGAACCGTAGTGCCTCTGACCTACAAGCCTTGTTGTACCCCACCCTGCTCCCCAGGAGCCTCCTCAACAAGCCCAAGAGCGAGATGACCCCGGAGGAGCTGCAGAAGCGGGAGGAGGAGGAGTTCAACACGGGGCCCCTCTCCGTGCTCACGCAGTCGGTCAAGAACAACACCCAGGTGCTCATCAACTGCCGCAACAACAAGAAGCTTCTGGGTCGCGTGAAGGCCTTCGACAGGTGGGTGCCTAGTTGCACAGCAGGGGTCAGCCCGAGACAGCCTCTCATCCCTCAATTCAGACTCGTGGTCGCAGCCCTTGTGGGCCAGAGTACTGCTGTGTGCTGTAGAGCTGTCAGCAGCAGGGTGTTCCCTGGTAGACTGCCAGGCCTTTCTTCTGAGTTACCTCTGGGTGAACTTAAATCCCAACCCGATAAGCAGACAGCACGTCACTCTCTGTATCCCATAGTCTCAGGTGGAAATCACGATGTGATGCGTGTAAAGAATTGATGTTAAAGACACACAGACAGACAGTGGGGCACCAGGGGCTCCTCCTCCCATATCAGGACTGAGAGAGTGAATGTATTTGCCAGTGGGTATATATAATAGGGTTTACAGATCTTCCAAAAGGCAAACACATTATACAGCCTACATATAACAATAGGTACTATCATAAAGCAGGTTAACATAATAAGCAAGCAGTGAGATGAGCCATCGTCTTGACCTAGTGCTAGTTGGCCTCAAACCCCACTGAGCTCTCTCTCCTCAGGGCGTTGCTACATTTGGTGGTGGTTTGACTAGAACCTGATTCATCTAATATGGTAGCTCCTATAAGACCGCTCCTTAATGGAGGGCTATTGCAGCGGCCACATTATTGTCTGGAGAATGTGTATTTGAAAACATTTCCATCTCAGAACAATGGAGCTCTTAAAATAGGGCTAGTTTAAGGTCACATACTTTCTACCACGTCCTCAGTTAACCTCAATTTGATCATTTGATGCAGGTGGAGTACCTAATCGTGGTACGTTGTTGACAAGAACCCACCCCACTCAGCCACTGTTTTAGGCCCCCCTCACTAAACACCCGGTCCGGGACAGCGGAGCCGCCACTTCAGG